CAGGTGGGGGAGGGGGTGGGGCTGAGCTGCTTGCTGTACTACTGCACTACTTGCCACCCCGAAGGCTGAAACGAAGGACGTTAACGAAGTGTTCGGCGTCTCTATTGACAGGCGGAAGCTGAGCGCGGCTCGCTCACCAAGTCGCTGGTCGTCAGCGTCGTCAGCGCGCTGTGCGGCATGTTCGTCTTCGGCTACAACACGGGGGTCATCAACTCGCCCAAGAAGGTAAACAACATTCTCTCGGGCCTTGTGCAGCACTATTAGGGATTTTCGGATCCAAAGGTTTTCCCCGGAAAAATTCGAAACTTTTTACAGGAACAATCGGAAAAATTGTAAGTGTTTCCAGAAAATTTTGGAGAAATATTACTTTTCCTGAAAAATTTAGAGATTAAAAGACGAACAATGAAACATTTTCCAATACTACTTTTACCGAAAAATAAAAAATCCCTGATGCAGCACCCTGTTCTGTGAACAGTGCAAAGCGTTGCAAGCGGTATACAAAACTTTCCTTTTTGTTCACGTTCACTCAGGACGTGAAGCAGTTCATCGTGGACGTTTACGTCGAGCGATGGGGCGTTGTGCCCGACGACGACGTCCAGGAGGACCTCTTCTCCTTCATCGTGGCCATCTTCGCCCTCGGCGGCCTGATCGGCGGCTTCGGCGCGGGCTGGATAGCGAACGGACTGGGAAGGTAGAGAAACAGGGGCACTTCGCGACAGGGTCAAGAGGGAGGGGGGGGGGAAGGGTAGGGGAGGGGAGGGTAGAGCGCCCGTCCTGTAGGATGTGATGAATTCTCGTCTGAGTTACACGAAAATTTCCCATGACGTGTTTTGTAAAATTACAATTTCTCAAATTGCAAAATTGCAAGCCTTGTGCCAACGACGAGGTATTCGTGGGCTGTCGTAAATTTGCAACATATTCCAAACGCAAATACAAAAGATTTTGTAAATTTTCGAAGATAATCTTCACAGAGGTATGGTGCGCGTCGCGGTCGCCGCCTCTCCCGGTTACATAACGACGCACGCGCGCCGAAACAACCGTGAATAGTCAATAATTGTTATCCGCGCGGTGGAAGCAGCAATCAAACAGTTACTTATTTCTACGCCCTTTTTTTGTAATCGCCCCCCATAGCGGCTCGCCGAGATAAGCGATCACGAGCAATAAGTAAAGTAAGTGGCGCGACGTTACAGCTGCTGCCGGATGTTGTATAAGGTGGGTGGCGGGTGCAACCGCGGGAATAATACTGCGCAATGAGAGATGATTGCAGGCTCTGGAACGGTCTATGCCCCTTTTATTGTTTTATATTGATAAGAGTTGAGCCGTCACATATGCGTCGTCGCGAAAAAATTAGTCGGATGACTCACTCACCGCGCCGTTTCCTCGCGGAAAAAAAAAGAAGAATGACCAAAGTCCTCTCTTACTACTCATCTGTCTGCCTGTAAATCATCGCGGCATTACTAGGTATTTTTTTTTATTTTTATTTTTTGCAAAGAAATTGCGAAAGTTGCTCAGCGGCTCTGCCATAACACCGATTGCCGGCCGGTGTGCTGGCCGACGTGTGGTGCCGTGTGCCGGCCGGCGTGCTGCTGAGCCATCGTCGCGGTGAATCGAAGGTGTTGCGCGACTTACTTTATCTCTCGCTCGAGTCTATAGATGAGTACGGCCGAGCCGATCTGACGCTCCGCAGGACGCTGAAGTGGCGTTGTCGCCGTCGCCCCCTCCTTTCAGTGCGACAAGGACGCGAGCTGTACGGGCGGGAGGCATACGAAAGAAGCGATGTTCTAAATCAGTCGGCAGGGTTTACGACAAGTCATTCCAGTATACCTGCCATGATTCATACCCCAACCAACCCCCCCCCCCCCCCCGGTGTGGTCCTGACCGTCACCATCGCCTTGGCCCGTCGCGCGCTCAGCCTTGTCGGCACGCACATAACCTGCTCGCGCCCTGCCCAATAAAGTGTGTGAGTGAGAGAGAGAGAGAGAGAGAGAGAGAGAGAGAGAGAGAGAG